ATAGAAGATTTAATGTTTAATTTATTCTTTTTTTTATATTATAATAAAGAACTTCAAATAGAAAACTTGAATTTTAAGTGTATACTGCATAAAGACAAATTAAGTTTAATTAAAATATAGTGTCGGGAATCTGATAGATTATATAAAATTTAAAATAAAAAATTTTCTCGTGTGCTTGATAAGAAAAAGAATATTGGTTCCTGATATACTTAAAAATATCGAGTTCACGATATTACTATAATATCGAATACTTGAAAGAATTTAAAAAATATCATGCTCCTGATATTATTATTTATTATCATATACCCGATATTAATAAAATATTGGGTATCTGAGATCAAAACAAAATTTATCGCATAGCTATCGGGCACATTATAAAATTTACAAAAGTGCTATCAGGCCTTTAAAAAAAAATACAGATATCAGGCACCCGATATATATAAAAATATTTCATGTGCTTGATGATTTCCTGATAATCAACTGATATTTGAAAATATCGGAGGACCGATAAATGCCCGATAGATATCTGATATTCGAATTTTGACCTGTGTATAACCATGACTTCTTTCATTTTGAATAATTTCTTCTTATATCTCATTATTTCCTTTATTTTCAAAGTTATTTTTTTTATTTTCAGAAAAATTTTTCTTAAAATTTGTATGAATATTGTAAGATAATTGTACAATATATATGTTTTCATCATCTTGGTTATCAAAAATTGAAGTTTCCATTATAAAAAGTAATAAAAATAATATTATTTTATTAAAAAAATTAAAATTTACTTGAATATTGTTATGTGTGAAAAAAAATAAAAAATCTTTTCACAAATTATCATAATTGTAGATCATTCTAGAATTATTACACAAACGTTGATCATTCCATATATATCAAATCCCGTTTTGGAAATATACCTGACTGTAGTGATGAACAATTGACACGGGAAGTATAATAGATTATTAGGTGCTGAAAGAGGTATATAAACATAAAATCCATATTATATAAAGAAAAATGAATAATGAAATATTATCACCCAAAGCTACAAATGCTTTTTTAAATAGCTAAAATGAGGACTTGCCTCCAGTTATTTTATTGTAAATTAAATGTAATTTATATATGTAATAACTTATTTAACCCACGACCTGCCGCAATTTGAATACTTCTGAAATAAAATTAAATTTAGAATTTAAAGTACGAAGAGAAATGTAACCTTTATAACAAATCGTAATCTCGAGCATCATGGAATAAAATTCATAAAATTCATATAAAATTTCATCATACCTTCATAATCTAATAATCAAAACTAATAAAATTAAATAGATGATCAATCCTAATACACCTGAAGAAGCTACATATTTACCACTGGTGACAAAAGGTTGAGTATTATCTAAAATATCCGAATTATTTTTTCTGCGCAAGAATGCGATCGACAACATCACACCACCAAAAGCAACGAACGCCAAACCAACACTGTAAAACGCGGGTTCAAAAACCCGAAGAACGAACATAGCAAAACCAAAAGTGGCCAAACATGTTCTCCAATATGCACCTTCAAAAGTTCTCTGACGAGCTAAATTGATAATAAAATATAATGAAAAAAAATGTCGTATGAGAGAAATAAATTTACGAAATTTAAAATATACTTACCTCTATTTATTTTTATTTTATTTTGTTTTTTTAATATTTGAAAATAAAAAAAGAGAACTTTTCAAATAATAGAAACACTTGTGTAATTATTTATAAAGTTAAAATTATAATTTACCTAATTTCCACTAATTCGGCATCAGTCAAAACCAGCGATTCTATATTATGACCTCGGATATGTTCATGCATTTTTATATTTTTTATATATTCAAAAATTTTAATTTTTTGTTTTGATGTTAATCTAATTTAACCTGATCTTCTGGTTTGCAGGCAGCCAATAAAATCAGAATTTATATTGTTCACCAAGGTGAAAATGGTGTGAAGATACAATAATTTAATGATTTTATTTGTAATAATAATAATAATAATAATAATAGTAATTAATAATAATAATAATAATTAATAATGATAGCAATAGGTTTAGAAGGTTCAGCGAATAAACTGGGTGTTGGCATTATTGAACATGATCATGATTCAAATAAAGTAAATGTTTTGGCCAACATTCGTCATACACATGTAACACCACCAGGAACAGGGTTTCTGCCCAAGGATACTGCAGCTCATCACAGAGAATTTGTTATTCCAGTGATTCGAGAGGCTTTGAAAACTGCTAATGTTAAAGTCAAAGAGATTGATTGTATTTGTTATACTAAAGGTATTAAACGTTAAGTAGAAAAGGGGGGATAATTTTTGATGAGGTAAAGTTAATTATTACTATTTAACTTTGATAGGACCTGGTATGGGTGCACCTCTTGTGTCTGTAGCTATTGTAGCGAGAACTTTGTCATTATTGTGGGATAAACCGATTGTTGCTGTTAATCATTGTATTGGACGTAAGTTTAGGTTCAAAAATTTTGATTCATTTCATAATCTCTTAATTTTATTTTTATACATTTAAATGTTTCTTTATAGATATTGAAATGGGTAGAGAGATTACAGGAGCCAATAATCCAATTGTTTTATATGTGAGTGGTGGAAATACACAGGTAATCGCATATTCTGAAAATAGGTAAAATACCAATAATTCATGGATTTTTTTTTTTAAATATATATTATATTATATAAATTCATATATAAATTTATATAAATAAAATATTTATATAAATATTTATATAGATATAGAATATTTGGGGAAACATTAGATATAGCAGTTGGTAATTGTCTTGATAGGTTTGCAAGAATATTAAAATTACCAAATGATCCAAGTCCAGGATATAATATTGAGCAATTTGCAAAAAGGTTATAGATTATATATGTTTTATAATATGTTTTATTATATATTTTATAATATGTTTTATATATTTTAGGGGTAATAAATTTATTGAATTGCCTTATACGGTTAAAGGAATGGATGTTTCATTTTCAGGAATATTATCTAATATTGAAACTATATCTATTGAACAAATTCCAACTGGTCAAGTTACCTCCGAAGATCTTTGTTTTTCTTTGCAAGAAACACTATTTGCAATGTTGGTTGAGATAACTGAACGTGCTATGGCTCATATTGGTAGTCAAGAAGTTTTGATTGTAGGTGGCGTTGGATGTAAGTATTATTTATTCATTCGATTTCTTTCTTATATTATTTTAATATTATTATTGAAAATTTTAAAATAAATAAATAGGTAATCTAAGATTACAAGAAATGATGCAACAAATGGTTGAACAACGTAATGGAAAAGTGTTTGCGACTGATGAAAGGTATCGATTGCTATTTTTATAGTACTAATTTTAAATTTATTTAATTTCCATAATTTCTATAATTACTAAAATTACTAAAATTTGTTATAATGTAAACAATAAGATTCTGCATTGATAATGGAATAATGATTGCTCACGCTGGGTTACTTGCTTTTAGAACTGGTTATACAACACCTTTAGAAGAATCTACGTGTACACAAAGGTATTTATATTCATTTTTAAATTATTATAAAAAAAAAATAAATAAATAATAACATTTTTTTTTTTTTAGGTTTCGAACAGATGAGGTTTATGTTTCTTGGAGAGAAGCGAATTGAAAAACTTGATTATGAAATTGAATAATTTTTTTTATTTTCTTATAAAATTTTGTAAATAATAAATCTTTGTAATTTATAAAACTTATCACATTTTTTGAAACATATATTATTAATTAACCAATCACCCCGAAATCTCTTGAGAATCAATTCCCAAAATTTTTGTAACTTTTTCATCTTTAATCTCATATACCTCCTCTCTTGGAGTCCAGACCATATCAAGATTTCCACTTTTCACATGCTCGTACTGTTCTTTAACAAATTCTGTAATATCTTCTATATTCAAAATCCATTCATTTGAATACTTGGCTGTCAATTTTTCGCCTCGAATTCCTAACTGAATAGCTCTCCGTTCTAATTTTTTTCCATTTAAATCATGATCAGGATCCCATTGCAGTCTAACATTTGAATTTTCAAGTGCCCTTCTCCATGATTTTTCATCTGAGAAGTGTGAAGCTCCAAATGATGAGGGAACACATTCATAAAGAATTGAATTGAATCCTTCTAAAGAAATCTTTATAGCTAAGACCTGTATGAATAATGTGAAAAGAATTTTTATTAAATTTAAAAATTAACTTAGCTGTTAGATATTAGATTATAATTTTTTCAAATAATCACCATCTAAAAAGGTGACTTATTGTAATATGAGTCCAAATAAATAGCACCAAATAAAATTGGAATTATATTTTATACCCTTTCTTGATATCTTTTTGTAGCCCATCCAGATCTGTACATCATCCAAACAAAATTAGGTTTGATCCAAGTCATCCTCTAATAATAAATAAATAAGTATCTTGTAACATGTATAATTGGTTAAAATAAATAAATTTTTTTTTTTACCTTCCTTTAGCCAAATTCGATATTTAATTTTAATTAATAAAATAAATTTATTATTTTATTTATTTTTATTTAATGGTTTCAAAATTTAAACATCATACCATGAATAATCATCCCCACCAAATTTTTGATTCTTCAAAGCATATTCTGCAATAGAATTTTTAAATGCTTGATATACCACAATTGAATTATTATCATATTGGGCTAATATATGTTTTCCGGACTCGGGCCATCTTTGAATTTGAGAGTTATAAAGTTCAAGTTCTAGAGTGATTGTCATTGTCACTTTATTATTAACGGTTAAGTAATATATACTGAGTAGCAAAGAAACCTCTTCACGCAGAAGATTAATGAGTCAGGGAATTCCTTCTCTGAACTCGATAGTATTTTTTTTTTTAATTTTTTATTTATAATGCAAATCGTAAATTTATTGAAATCTATGTTTTGTTCTCACGTGGTTTAGAACACATTCATGTATAAATTATTTAAATTAAAGCACTTGATACGAATCAAGTAAATTTATCAATAAATTTACAGATTAATAAATTGTTTTATTAAATCTCTTTCTAATTAATTTTTTCAATTATATGTAAAATACTATGCAAGATTGTATAATAAGAATTGCAAATTATTTTCTCTTATTCGTAAATATAAATTTATAAAAAAATCGTTATGAAAAAGTGAAATAAAAAGTTAGATATAATAATGTTTATTTTGATGCGTTTTTTTTTTAGTCAACCTCTTCCATTTTAGATTCTTCGGCACAATTGTCTGCTGCTGGGGTGATTTCATCAGCTTCCATCGTTTCTGGTTCTTCTTCACTAATATCAAGCCCTAATTTAATCATCTTGAAGATTCTTCCAGCAAAGGATGATGGTTCTTCCAAACTGAAACCAGATTGTAAAAGAGAAGTTTCGAAAAGAAGCCAAGTAAGATCTTTAACGGTCTTATCGTTCTTGTCGGCTTCAACTTTATTTTTAAGTGATTTAATAATAGGATGATTTGGGTTAATCTCCATAATCTTCTTAGAAGCCATATAAGAAGCCATGCTAGAATCACGAAGAGCTTGGGCTTTCATGATACGTTCAAAGTTAGCAGACCAACCATATTGGCCAGTTACGAGAACACAAGGTGATTCGGAAATACGATTTGATACTTGAACCTGTAAAAAAAATATATATATAAAAATATTAGTAAAACCAATAAACCGATACTTTGATAAACTTTTAGAAAAGGAAAAAAAATTTAACAAACCTTTTCGACTTTATCACCGAGAATTTCTTTAATCTGTTTGCATAAATCTTCAAATTGTTTAGCTTCTTCTTCACGTTTCTTTTTCTCCTCTTCGTCATCGTCTAATTCCAGACCTTCTTTAGTAATACATACAAGTTTCTTTCCGTCATATTCTTTAAGTTGTGATACACAGTATTCGTCAATTGGATCAGTCATAAGGAGAACTTCGTAACCTCGTTTCTTCAAAACTTCAACAAAAGGTGAATTTTCTACAGCTTGACGATTTTCACCAGTTATGTAATAAATATCCTTTTGTTTTTCAGGCATACGTGTTACGTAATCCTTAAGAGAAGTCACTTCATCGCCGGATTTGGTTGAATGGTAGCGAAGAAATTCAGCTAATTTTGCTCGGTTTTGAGTATCCTCATGAATACCAAGTTTAATATTCTTAGCGAAAGCTTCATAGAATTTATTAAAGTTTTCTTTATCTTCACTGATTTCTGAAAAGAGTTCCATACATTTCTTGACAATATTCTTGCGAATAACTTTGAGAATCTTGTTTTGCTGAAGCATTTCACGGGAAATGTTTAGAGGCAAATCTTCAGAATCCACAATACCCTTAACAAAATTAAGATATTCTGGAATCAAATCTTCACAATCATCCATGATGAACACACGTCGAACGTAGAGTTTAATATTATTACGCTTCTTTTTAGTTTCAAAGAGATCAAATGGAGCACGACGTGGTACAAAGAGGATGGCACGAAATTCTAGTTGACCTTCCACGGAAAAGTGTTTGACGGCCAAATGTTCTTCCCAATCGTTGCTTAATGATTTGTAGAACGAAGAATATTCTTCGTTCGTTATATCATCGGGATTACGGGTCCAAAGTGGCTTTGTTTTATTGAGCTCTTCTGTTTCTTTTTTCAGTTCTTTAATGGTCTTTTTTTTCTTTTCTTTCTTTTCTTCTTCATCATCTTCTTCTTCAATTTTGACCTTTTGATCTTCAGCACCTTCTTCTTTAACTTCTTCTTTGAGTTCTTCCTTAGCTTCGATTTCTTCATCTACTTCCTTTTCAACTTCTTTCTCAACAACGAGTTGGATGGGATAACCGATAAATTCAGAATGTTTTTTGACAATTTCTTTGATTTTCTTTTCTTCTAAATATTCAAGTTGATCTTCTTTGAGATAAAGTCTAATTTCTGTACCGCGTTCAATTCTCTCGTTTTCTGTATCACGGGCAATAGTGAAGGATCCACCAGCTGCGGATTCCCAAATATATTGCTCATCATCATTATGTTTTGTGATGACTTGGACACGATCAGCCACCAAGTAAGCGGAATAGAAACCCACACCAAATTGACCAATCATAGATATATCGGCACCTGATTGAAGAGCCTCCATAAAGGCTTTCGTACCAGAACGAGCGATTGTACCAAGATTATTTACAAGATCGGCCTAATAAATTAGAAAGTAAATCATGTATCAAAATAATCCCATAAAATAAATAAATATATATAATCTAAAAATAATATACCTTTGTCATTCCAATACCAGTATCTCTAATAGCGAGAATTTTGTGTTCTTTATCTGGAATGATTCTAATATAGAGATCACGCTGAGTCTCAAGCTTTGAAGGATCCGTGAGCGACTCATATCTAATCTTGTCTAAAGCATCGGAGGCGTTTGAAATCAATTCACGCAAGAAAATTCTATTGATATATTTAAATTAATTTTTATTTTTATAGATATTCATCCGATAAAAAAATAATAATAATAATAATAATTTAATAAGTCTTACTCTTTATTTGAATAAAAAGTATTGATAATAATAGACATAAGCTGAGAGATCTCAGCTTGGAAAGCAAATTGTTCAACTTCGGCAACTTCAGCAACTTCGGCCATTTTTGCAAGTGTTATGGAATACGGTTGTTAATAAAAATTATGTACAAATAAAAAAAAAAAAGGCTTTTAAACGAAGCGTCGAAAAAAAAAATTTTTTTTGGAGAACGTTTATGGGAAGAGAAAAGTTCCTTATTTATATTACTCAGTGTGAGGATGTCGTAGCAAGGTTCTATGAGGTTCTACGTTACAAGCAGATCATCATTTTAAAGGACACGCGGTTTAGAAGGTTCCAGCAATTTGGAGATAACTCTACAAAAAAAAAAATCCATGATTCGCATGATTCGCTAAAAATCCAGATCATCTTGATGAAAATTGTAAATAAATAAATAAATAAATAAATAATACATGACTGCTAAAAATTCATGAATATATATGTTGAGAGAAATGACTGTTTTTGATATATTTGTATATATTTGTAAACTATCTTTACGAAAATTAACTTTACTAAAGTACTAAAATTTTAGGAATATTGAAAAAAATATTTAAATGAGAAAATCTTATTTTTCAACATTTTTACTTTGAAAAAATTGATATTTGAATAGTTTTGTACCCGTTGAACAACTTTACTTAATCACCACTTTAAAACGATTTAATGTTATATATACCAAAAATATATCTATTTTTCAATATATTTGTAAGCTATCTTCACGTCTACTGTTGTAATTATAAATAAATAAATATTTTTAATTATTTTTATTGACTGAATTATGGTTACACGAATTTTTATTATAAAATGAATTTTACGTATTTAAAATAATTAAAATATGTATACTCAAAACGAATACGAGGAACTTTTGAGAGCTTATCGACTCATTGGAAGAACAGTATTTCCCACAAAAGGGAAACGCGTAGAGATGAGATTTGAAACATTTTATGGAGGTTAGAAGTTAAACTTTATTTTAATACACGGAATCTCTGATATGAATTAATTCTTTTTTATAGCAAAATACCATGAAACATACTATATCATTCTTGATCAGTATGAGAAGAATTTTCAATTGAGCATTTTTATGCACACAATACCACATTTTATTCCATTAAAAGAGCTGGAGAATGATTATTTAAATAAAGATATATATGTAAATATATGTATATGTAATACTTTCCCTTGGAATCAACTTCAAAAAAAAAAAAACTTTTAATACCAGTTTCTTTTTTTTTATTTGGTAGAAATTTAGAAACATTGTTGATGATTATCTTCAAGCATATGTTAAAAGGCGCGAAGAAATAAAAATTTTACAACAAAATAAAGGAATTATTAATTTGAACACTAATAATGTTTACGATTTCATTGAATTTTCAGTTTGTTTAGAAAAACAGTAAGAATATTATAATAGATGCATCAAGAAAACAAAGATCAAATTTGATTATTAATACATGTTCTATTTACTTTCATGTTAACTTTAGCACGATGAAAATCAGTATAAAATATGAGAATTTGAAATTATGTATCCCCACAAATACTGTCATATATCAAATAGAAGAAGGTATTTGTCTCATTTTTGCATTTTTTTTTTTATGGTAATAAGGTAATATTTCCTTTCCTTTTTGTAGATGACAATAATTCCATAACAAGTCTTAAGAGATTAAGGAAACTTGAGAAATATTTCAAGGAAACTAGTTTGTTAAAAGCTTTTGATAACGTATTTGTTGATGCATCATAATATTATTATAAGTAAAGGATTATGTTAAAGACTTATACAATTTTATACCATTAATTATATTAGTTATTTTTATATTTTCGTTTTTTTTTTTTAAAAAAAAAAAAAAATATGTATATACCAAAAATGTACACATACATAACCTATAAACCCATACAACCCGAAATAAGTAATAATAATGTAATGAAAAAAAGTCTCTCAACTAACGCGCGCTATTTTGATCAAATAAATAAATATATATATTGCTAAACCTCATAAATGTGTAAAATAAAATGGAATGCATATATATATATAAATAATAAAGAGATGCAATATATACAAGAATAGATAAATTTGGCAAGATCTACAGAAAAAATTCTAAATATTTGAATTACAAACAATGGTATTAACAAATTATCAAATATATAAATAAATTTTTTATTCTCCGTCACGGTCAGAATTGGGTCTACCATTGATACCATTTACGATTTGCTTCCTTTTCAGCAATTTTTTTCGCCAATGCTGCAAATGTTTCACTTGATGTTGACAAATCGTTGACTTTATTGTTTAATTCGTTGAGTTTTTCACCACGCTCGTTAAGAGCATCTCCAATTTCAGAAAAAGCATTCTTTGTTCCACCATTGACGGCTCGGTCATTTGTTGGTGGTGTGTCTTCGGATTTTCCAAGTAATTCTTCGCGTTTAGATTGTTCAGAAACATCAGATTTTTCTACTTTGTCTACTTCTTCTACTTTTTCTACTTTATCGTTTTCTTGTGGCTCTATTACAGCATCTGAATACATACGTCGATCTAATTCATCGAATTCTTCTTTAAGTTTTTCCAAAACCACACTGGATGAACGTACAATAAATTGACTAACATTACGAAACCTAATTCCAAATTTATTCCTCTTTGGTTCAGCTTCATTCTCTTCAACACTAATTTCCTTTACATCCTTTGAATCATTTGTATCATCCTTTGCTTCTTCCTTTAGATCCGTTGAAACTGTAGTATTTTCTTTTTCGACACAATTCATTGGAGTTGATGGAGTTGATAAAGTTGATGTAGTTGATGTAGTTGATGTAGTTGATGGTTCAACATTATGAACTGATGATTCCGTATTTGAGAAAATTGATTTTGTCTGCACAACTGGAGAATCTGTAACTGTGATGGCTTCAAGACTAGATCCAATTTCCGGTTCTGATTGTGATTGCAAAATAGAATCCGATGTTTTTATTTTAATAATTTTGTCGATTTTATTACCAACTTTTTTGAAGAATTTTTTAGAAGTCGAAGGTGATGCTGGTTGTGATGTCGTTGAAATCGGTGAAGTCGAAGTAGAATTATTTTTATTATCAGCAACCGCAGGTTCGGGCGGAATAGAAATTGCGTGTGTGGAAGTTTCCGGAGGTTGCGGGGAAGAACTTGAAGCATTTCGTGCCGACGGGTTGAGTGAAGAACTTCTTGCTGGACTCGCAAGAGTATATTGATTTTCCGCAACTAAATTTTAATTAAAAAAACTTTAATATATATTTCAAAAATAAGTTCATAATACAATGAGCTAAAAAACATTTTGTTTTTTCTTGTGGCTTAGTTTCCTTCTCTTGCACTTCTTTCTGCTGACCTTTGGTATTTTCTTCTTTTGAAATCACATCTCGAATTTCATTTTGACTTTTTATTTCGTTTGTTACAGTACCGTCGTTTTTTGTATTCTCGTTTACAGTATTATCTTGATTATTTTCTTTCGAAGAGGTTTCGGCCATTTTTGTACTTTAAAGAAGGTTTTCTTTAAATTGAGTTTTAGTCTGTCTAACACACCGAATTTATACGGTGCATGCTCCGTACCAAAATTCATGTTTACTGTAGTATCAATTAACATATATAAGATAATGTAATGAGAAGTTTGTGTTGCGAGAGTTATATATATTTTTTTATTTGTGGAGGATTGTACAATGTAAACAGTTTCCTTTTATAAAAAATAATTCCTTGTTATGATTAGTGGTGTTACTTCGCTGTTTTATTTATTTATGTATTATATAGTTTTAATAATTACAATTAGGGTTGTTAATGGAACATAACGGGTTGGGTTGGGCTCATGTTATAGTGGAGCAAGGGTCAACCTAACCCAACCCAGTACAAATGTATCGGGCTGGTACTCCACGGGTTGCTCCGGATTACTCCGGGTTGCTCCGGATTACTCCGGGTTGCTCCATGGAGTAATAATTATAATTAGTAATGCCAGGACCCCGAAATATTAAAAAATTACATAACGGATCAATTTTAGGGAGGTAAAAAAATATAAAAATGCGCGTCTGTAAATCTTTTAATTTTTAATTTTAATAATTTTTTTTGAGAATTATATAGTTTAAAAGGGTCTACAGAGTTGTAAGTGGGTAATTCTTCATTTATTTTATTAAATTAGATAATTTTCAGGTACTAACTATTACTTGTAATTGTTTTTAGGACTAGTGTCTCGGGTGGCGCAGTGCAATTTTATAAGATCTATAAGAGGATTATATAGTTTAAAAAAGTTTACAGAGTAGTAGATGAGAAATACTTCGTTTATTTTATTAGTTTAGTTAATTTTCAGATGTTTTCAGGTACTAAATATTACTTTTGGTTACTTTTAGAACTTTTTTGCAGTGAAATCGGGTAAAACGGGTGGCGCAGTACCGTTTATATATCTAGACAAGAAAGAAATGTAATTACATAGTTTAAAAAGGGTCTACAGAGTAGTAGGTGGGTAATACTTCATTCATTTTATTAGTTTAGCTATTTTTGGATGTTTTCAGATACTACAGTAAATATTACTTTTTAATTACTTTTAGAATATTTTTTGCAGTGTTTTGGGTGGCGCAGTACCATTCTATGGATCTAGGCGAGAAAGAAGGGTTTACAGAATTGTAATTGGGTAATACTTCATTTATTTATTAGTTTATATGATTTTCAGGTATTTTTAATAGGTTATTATTGCTTCAAGAGAGTTATAATTAATAAATTGGCTGTTTTAAATAATAAATTTAGTTATTTTATTAATAATCAATTTTTATTTTTATCAAATATGGTTAAAGATTATTATAGTTATTTAAAATTAAATGATGTTATTAATCTTATTTTGGAAAAAAAATTAATAATTTCAATAAAATAAAAAACAATATAATTTATTATAAGTCATAATTTAGATTGCATATTTTTTGCCAAATTTTAAAATATCTCATAAAAATTTTACATAGAGTTATTATAAAAACAGTTGCATATTTTTGACTAAAATCTTATAGATCTTTTTATGACATTTATTATAATATTTTGGAGTCCTGTAATACCTGATGAAATATATTTAAAATCAAAAATAATTATTGATAGTTGCTACATATAAAACCTTTTATTTTAAAAATATCAAAATGGTATTAAGTAATCTCAAATATGAGAATAAATTACATATTATATTTAAAGAACAGACCTACATCATCAATATTGAGAGAACAATTAATGGTTAAATTTCGAACAGATAAAAATTCTTAAAATGATATTATTCACTCAATTTTAAAGATACAGGTTTGTTCTTAAAATATGATATACAATTTATTCTTTTCTTAAGATTATTTAATACCACTTTTGATAATTACTTACTAAAATAAATTGTTATATATATATTAATGATTGATGATTTTGTTATTGATTAACCAATCAAATTACTAAAGTAACTTGGAGCAACCCAGAGTAACCTGAAGCAACCCAGAGCAAAATTATATAATAATCTGGGTTATAATAAAATATTTTGCTCCAGGTTAGTACAAAAAACTAAACATCTTAACCCACTTCATGATAAAGTGATACATAACCCAAGTTGATGTTAAAACATTATACTCCGGTTAACAACTCTAGTTGAAAAATATCTAGTGAATGAAGCTCAAACATGATATTAACAAGTTATAAATGATGCTACCCAAATCTTCCAATTATGGGATACTGTAAATAATTGAAATTTTAAGGCCATGTTTTTAACACAATTCTGAACCTAAGGAAAACTCTTACAATAAAGAACTGACTTATAAATCAAATCCAAACCATAGGTGAAAGTATTGACCATTATGTTCAAGATATTAAACAATTAATTAAAAGGATAGATCATCAGGAAAATTAAAATAAACAAGATAAAATTTATCAGTTCATGAAAGGACTAAGGAGAGAAATTGTTTTTCAAATTTGACCACTTCTATCCTTTTGGCATAACACTACTCTCAAATAAGTAATTAAGGTAGCTCACCAAATGGATGAAAACAATAAGGATTATTCTGAAACCTTAATAAAATTTGAAAGAAACTATACAAGCCCTTCACCTATTTCTCAAAACTATCCTACCCTACAAAATAATATTGAAGTCACAGTAACAAAAGTCTTGGTTTCTTTAATACAAGCTTTAGAAGAATTAGCAATAAATATCTCAAATGTTTTAACATTCTCTCCTATTTAAGAAAACAATAATAATAATATAAATTGATCATGGAATAGGAATCATGTAAAAGTTCAACATGCTATAAGTAGGACATATCACAAAAAGTTATTCTACACAACAACCATCTAATTTTCAACAGCTCCCTTCAAATAATCAAAATAATAACATATATGCTACATATTTTTTTACTTAACAGTAATAGCCACAACAAATATATTAACCAGTAATGCAACAAGCACCCCATAACCACAAGTGAATCCAATTTCTGTGAATTAACCGGTTCAATAACAAGCTTCTCAACAAGTCCTAACTCAAACCGTATTAGTAACAATGGACCAAGGAGGAGTAGGACAACCTTCTCAACAAATATTTGACCATTTAAACTAGAACGCGTACTCTAGAGGATGAGTGTATGAAGAATAATACAAACACCTTATTTATTAGAGAAGATAATTCAAAATTATCATAGTCATATATCTGTATTAATCAAAGAAATATAGGTATTAACGAAAATAACCAAACTAGTGATTCTGAAAAATCAAGAAATCAAACAGAACAAAATATAAAAGTTAAACTTGATACTGAGGCACAGGATGATGAATATAAAGAAAGAAAAGAAAAACATCCAAAGGACCAATTGAAAAATTTTCTATAACACAAATAACTATATCTTATTCTATTATCTCTAACCTAATGCACACTAAAGCTAGAATATCTTTTGAACAATTAATGAGTCTACTGCCATTTAAAAACAAAGTAAAAAAGGTAATAACTTCTCAAAGGAAATGAACTTTCAAGGAAAAGGGAGAGAAGAGAAAAGGAAAAGTAGAAGAAGCCAAACTAAAAGAAAGCTTCTTTCACAATATCCCTATAATTTGCAAAAGACAAGTGAAAGGATGGATTGCTAATATTATTCTTGATATTAGATCCTTCACTAGTATTATCTCTTAAAAATTTTTAGAATACCTGGAATTACAAATTACTCAAAAATCTGAACAAATAATCTATTTCCGTATGAGTGATTAAATGGATATATAAGTAAGCTATAGATGTTGGATGTATGAATTATAGTAAATAAAATTTTTCGTAAGTTCTTATCTTAACAATAATTAGCAGATCGAACTTGAACTTATAAAAATAGTCCTCAAAAATTTGCTTGTGAATTATCATCTTTCTTGTCAATGGATATCTGGTCTCTTGAAGAAATATCTTCAATTTCTTACACCGAAAAAAGCTGCTGGTAACTTAGCTGTAATTAATAAATTTGATAGAAAAAAGTTACAGTATTTCATCTCCTTAAGATATGATATGTTTAATAAGATTTATAATACTGAAAATATATTAGGATAAATGCTAATACCTTTACATAAATAATATATTTCCTTTATATTTTATAATAATAAACAAAAATGTAATTATCGGTAATAAGAAAATGAAAATATATAAATAAAAGTCACTGATAGGTATCCGATAGTAAGAAAAAAGTTTCCGATATTGAGGAATATACAGTGACTGATATATATATTTTTTTTTTTTTTGTTCCAACGAGGCCTTGCCTCAAGTTTATTAAATAGAAAAAGAGAGAGTCTTTACATTACTTTTACATAATATAAAATACATAACTTATCCTAATAATTGTTAAAAATATGAGACTCAGACTAACTCATATGAGACACGCCTGCAACTTACCGCCTGACAAATAAATTTGCCCTCAGCATGTTAAGGTCCTGTCGAACAACCTATTTTATACAACCCTACCCAATTCATCTCATAACGGACAAAATTACTAATAAATTTGTTAACTATATTATAACAAATGATTACACGCTGTTTAATGTCTCTATTTTTGTTTATATCAGTATTGTTATTATTATTATCACCATTACTATTGTTATCACCATTAT